TCTCTTAAGATGGCAGGACAGTCTTTGGTCTTCTCCTCAGTGGAAGGGCTCAGCCTCCTCACTACCCCTGCTTCAGAGTTTCTCTCTAGATCCACTTGTGTTTCTTCCCAAGTTCTGCCATTATGAGATTCATCTTCCACTGTTCTTCCCAAAATGTCACACTGCTAGGATTGAACCTCTACTCAGTACTCAGAATAGGTGACATCTGTGCTAGTGTGATTCTTCTACATGCTTTTTGTCTGTCTTCCACACCAACATCATCTCTATTTTTAAGTGAACTATTAAATAATGTTGGTTTGTTGGGGTTCCTTCCCTTCCTCCCACTGCCCAGACCTTTTCCAGGCTATGATGTTCTTTCACTTCAGTGGAAGCTTCATTGAAAAGGTTACTAGGTTTTATTTTTTTCCCACAATAGCTTCCAAGGTCCAAAGCCATTGCTAGAACCTGGAAAACCTCTGAAAACAGCATTAAATCCGTAAGTAACAAAAATATAACCAAACCACTGACAAGCACAGAATTTCTGGATTATAGTTTGTCGAGTTATTTTTCCCTCTTGCCAGAAGAAAATAACCTGTACCTTGTTGCTACTATTTTTACCTTTTGGCAAAGCTATCCTGCTAATTCAATTACATTACGCAAAACTTAGTATCTTTCATTCGAATAGTAACTACTGTACAAATCTCGACAAAGGAACTACCATTGCTAAAAGCAAGCAGCAGCTTATTGAGTCCCATTAACTGGCTGTAACACATTGTAGAGACAACAGAACACAGAACATGGGGTGTTCATACTGGCTACCCAAACAGGGAGAGCAAAAACTTTATTCAATTCGTAAGTGCCATTAAATGTGATTGCAGTATCTAAAGCTGCATCTTCAGAGCAGCTATCTGCAACATTTGTTGCACCGCATCTTCAAAATGGTATTTGTTTGCAGACAAATAAAACCTAGCTGAAGATTTAATATATTTCATGTTAAATTCTCAGTAATAGAGCCAAAGTGTAACAGTTGTTACTTTTTGCAAAGACTGACGGTTCCCTGCCTGCCCCAAGCACGAACTGTTCAGCACACGTTACTGAAAGAGAAAAGCTCCAATTCCATGCCTGTTATTCAGTCATTGAAATGTACTTTTTCTGCAAAGATAACCAGATTTCAATTTTTGGTCCAGTGACAATGAGTCAGTAGTACATTACTTTCAACACTGCATGTATCTGTGTGTGCATGGCTATATAATTTTTGTGTGGATGTGTGTGCATGTGCACACGTGCCTGTGACAGCTCTGAAGGGATGTCTTGGTTTTCAGCTGGGATAGAGTTAATTCTCACCAGAGGCAGGGACGTGACACAGCCAGGACAGGGGACCCAAACTAGCCAAAGAGGTATCCCATACTATATGACGTCATGCTCCACATATAACTGGAGGGAGCTGGCCGGGGAGTCGTCACTGGTCAGGGATGGGCTGGGCATCGGGTTCCTGGCATTGTGTATCACCCACTCTCTATATTCTGTTGTAAGTGATGTTGCTATTTTCCTCTGCCAGTAAACTGTTCTTATTCCAACCCACAAGTTTTTTCTTCCAATTCTCTTCCTCCCCATCACACTGGAAGAGGGTGAGCAAGCAGCTGGTGGTGCTCAGCTGCCAGCTGGGGCTAAACCATGACAAGGCAGGGAGGGAGGGGGGAAGGCTTGAACATTATCTAAGAATAATCTTAATGACATAGGTGTACTAGGACTACATGTTTTGGGCCCAAAGGCTGCGCATAGCCCCAGCCCTATTTTCACATGACCAAACGTAACCAGAGCTGAAAGCTCATCTCTCATGGGCTGAATTGCCTAATATTGCCTATTTATCAACTACAGGGTTTTTCACTTCAGATTCTTTTTAGTTATTCTTTAGTACTCTTACCTTAAGCACAGACATTCCTCTTTCCTTTAAAGGCACTTTCATAGGAATATATTCTTGCCCATCCTTTACCACGGTACCACGTATGATTCAAGTGGACCACACAGTATCAACACTATCACATATAAACAACAGTAGTCGAGAGAGGTGAATTCCTTTCTTTGTTAACTTACGGTGATTTACATTAAAACTGAAAGCTGAAATGCAGTAGTTTTTCCTAGGCCGTTCGCTTACAGTAACCCTAAGAGCAGAGTACCTTGTAGTAGTGCATTAAAGCATAACATGACTAAGATCTGCAACACAATTTAATCTCTTCTTAAGATGCATGCCATGTTTTATTAGTGTATGTATTTACACCTGCTACCATTTGCTTTGCATGAAGGAGTAAAGCTAAACCAGGAGTGACTGTTAGCAGCAGACATGTGCATAACAGATACAGCTATTTTTGTACCTTAAATATGACAGATGATTGAGTTTTACTAAGTTCTCTTTTCACAGCCAGGGAAAGGAACTGGCTGACTGTCACTACGTACAATTAATAATTTCTTCTCTACGCTTAGATACTATCAACTAGAGCAAACTCTTAAGCCATGTTCAAGTCTGACAGACTGAAAATTGTCACACCTAGCTGCAATAAGACACTTTTGGTTTAATGAGCAGGAACCAACTACACTAAACCTCAGTCTCAAAAAGTTTTAGTTTGGGTGGGTTTTGGAGCTGGTTTGTTTGGTTGTTGTTTTTTGTTTGGTGGTTTGGTGTTTGTTTTTTTTTTTAATTAAACAGTCTTAAAACCAGCCCGCTTTTTTTTTAAACCAGAAGTTTTTAAACAATCTGCTGACCAAATACTAATTATACAGATACACTTTTACAAGTCTGTTAAAGCATTCCCCAAAGAACTTATTTGTCACTCTGTTTTGAAAAACAGATCAAAGATAAAGGAGTAAACAGTAACTTCGCAGAAGCAGGAACCTGACTGAAAAATAAAACAATCCTTTCAGCCTTCCCGGAGAACAGTCAGAACTGAACCAACTGCATTACATTAGATTCAGTCCAGTAGCATAATAAGATTTCAAATTTTTGGTAGAGAAACAAAGTGTTGCTTTTGTGTATTTCACTGCTTTTCTTAGCAAAAAGAGGTGTTAGTAAAATAGGCAGCTACACCTCCAAAACATGATGGAAAACAGAGGTAAGCTTTGCAAAGAAGCTCCCCCCACCTATATATACACTCATCCCTGCTAGCAAAAACATAAATAAAATTCCAGGCACATTCTTCGCTGTCCAATGGGCTAAAAGGAACAGGAAGGGAAGAACAAGCAAAAAACTTGAAGACCCTCAGACAAAATCACTTCTGTTCCAAAATCATGAAATTGCCACTTTCAGCAGAAACACCCAAACACCTAGTACAACAGCAGCAGCGATTAAGGTAGTAGCTTGCTCCTATGAGGTCGAAGTCATTCATGTTATTTCATCCAGTTGAATTGCTCGAAAAGCAGCAGCGCGTTCTTGTAACGCCAGCACTTCATTTGCTTTTGCACATTCTTTCTACTACAGGTTGTCAGAGAACCTCTATGCCACTAAAACGAGCTCCTTGTGGAATGTGCAATCTCATGTTATAGCAAGTTGTCATATAAGTAATTTAACAATGTAAGAAAAGTTTTTTGGGCAGCACTACTTTGCAGACCATCTCTTTGGAGCATACAGAAAAGAGTCAGTAGTCTTTCTAAGATGATTATATCCTCCTTGTGCAAAGCCTTACCACTTTAAATTTCTGAATACTCTTAAAGCTTAGTCCAAAGCAAACCAGTTTTTTTCTTCAAGTCTCATCAACTATTTGCTCTCAAAGGAGATTGCTTAGAAGTGATACAAAGCAAGGCAGAGAAATGGGAAAGAAAAAAGAAAAAAAAAAAGGCAGGTTTATATTCATCTGCTTTCCCAGTAAACTGAAAGAATGAGTTCAACTCGAGCAGGCATTTGAAGACTCCTTTGAGGCTGTCAGCTACTTTCAAAGTGTCCAGTGTGGTTGTCCTCCCATTTTTTTCCCTCATCACTTCTGGCACCATTTCCTTGTTTCTCTCAGATCCCTAAGAATGGCTCTGAGTGTCTCCTTGGACCCGGAACAAGTTAAGGTATCTGGCTCAAGTGAGGAAGTATGCAAGGTAAGGACATTCCACCTCATCCCCAATGTCACACAAACTTCTTGTTAAGGCATGAAACATTTTAGTTTGTAGTTGCTCCTGCTAAAATTAAAAGCCTCCTTAACAGTTTAGTTCTGTCTTTAGCTCAAAATTCTTACTTTTCTTCACATTCAACATCTTCAAAGTAGTTGCGCATTGTATCTTGTTACTGAAGCAAGATTTATGGTTAGCTATCAATTAAAAGCATCTGTGCTGCCTTAATTTTAAAGATCACTTCTGTTTAGAGAGAGTTAGATTCTGTTCACTGTTTTGCATGAGTAAGGTCTGCTGTTCAGGTTTGGGTTTTTGTCTTGGTTTTCGTTTGTGTTTTTTGTTTTGGTTCTTTGGTTTGTTTTTTGGTTGTTTGGGTTTTTTTTGTCAAGAGTACATCCAAATAGCAAAAGCTTCAATCTGCTACTCTGACTTGGTGAAAATAATACCTCAAACCCAAACCAATGAGCACTTTCCTTTATTCGCCAAACTCTGAAGAACTGCAACTTGTGATTGTGTGAGATACACACTTCACTCAAAGAAACAGGTAAAGCAGCTTTCAAACGTACAGTGAAAGACAGTCTCAATTGCAGACCACATTGTATAGTTTACATTTCACCATGGTGTCATGGAGAACTTGATATAATCTCTATATACACATTTCTAAACACTGTACTCTTGAATTTCATTTAAAGCCTTGTAGTGAAGTACTGTAAACCTTCACAGTTTTCACAAATGGAGGCAGACACTGGAACCTGTGACAGGATCCCAGTCCACCAGTATCTCCAGAACTCAACGCCATCAGCAGAGGGCTGCAATCATTCCACACCAAACACCCAAACAGCTTTGCCAATAGGAACAGACTTTCTTTATCCACACCAGCATAAAACTGGTCTCTTCACAACTACACCAAAGCTACCATTCATGATGATTCTTCAAGCTAAAGCTGGAAAATCCTCAGGATCATCAGGATTTGGAGCAACAAGCTGCACCTATAAAGTAAAGAAAGGAAGCTTTATAAAAATGAATGCACTTCAAAAGCATCTGACAGCTATGTGTATGTATTTTACCCTGAAAAGGGTTCACTCTTTTATTCAAGTTAACTGCTTTGTATCCATCACTATCAGAGAAGTGCTAAGCATTTATCTCTGAAGTTATGACTATATAATTTCTTCAGTGTGAATGTATTTATAATGCTTATCTACCGCCTTGGGAGGACCAGAAGATCATAGGTTCTGCAGCACTAAAATGAAGAAAAAAAGGTAAGCAATCTCACCTAAAATACTGCCTGTTTTTAGAAGAAGCATTATTATCTTTTTACATTCTAAGGCTACTGCATATCTTGGACTGTAATTTTAAACTCTATGCCCTGTTATTATAAAGACCCTTTTTCTTTCAGATGAAACAAATGCATCAAATCACTTCTATATCATTCTCTAAGTTCTCAAGCTTAAAGTACTTTACTCATACTAGAGAAAAGTAAATTGAGACCCTTAGTATGAAGAATAAAGATGTAATTTTTCACTGTGAAAATGCCTTTTAAAAAAAAAAGAGAAAAAGCTCAGTAGACATTTTTTGTAATGTTTATACTGAATGCTTCTATCATTCTATAGGATTCTGTGTTCATCTGTAGGATCTGAGATTTACTCATGTCATTCTCAGCAATCAAAGTACTATTACTGTACTATACTGAAATTTTTTGTAAGGGATACAAGCCTTTATTCCTTTTAATTACTTCTCAATTTATATCAAAACTCATTGCAAAAACTCATCTTCATTGCATCCTATCTTCTAGTTACTATGACAACAACTAGTAATCAGACCTTTTGAAATTTATGTGTTAAGAGTTGTGAATCTCAACTGGTATTTCATTTTAAGTAACATGATATGGGTCAGGAACTCAAAATAACCAGGCCAGCACACTATGAAGCAGGAATTAGAAACAAGTCTGTCACTACAGAAATCAGTAATTCCACAGAAAAGAGGACAAGACACACCCCACTCCTCACCCTCCCCAGCAACAACAACAAAAAATCTCCAAGTAAACAACAACAACAAAATTATAAAAAAAAAAAACATTTCCACTACTTCTGGTCGAGGTCCTGTCTCCTCAATTCGTCTGCCACGACCACGACCACCTCGTGCTCCTCTTGATCCACGGCCAGGGCGAGGAAGACTCCCAAAATTAATATCCAGCTGAGACGTTATGTCATTCACTGGTCTTCGAAAGACATGAGAATCATCTTCAAAGTCTTCTTTTTGCAACTAAAAAGAAGATCTGGTTAAAGCCTATAGCTTCCATGTAAAACCTTCTCCCCTCCCTGTATACACACACAGACTTGCATTACAAGCAGCAGACAAATCAAGATGCCATCCAGAACAGAAGACAGGTCTTAATTTGCAAGGCAATTGTAGCTTCCCAGATGCCTGGGATAGTTCTTTGTTGGCTCAGAGTCCTGGGAACAAAATCTTCTGTACCAGCTCTGAAGAAGTTTTTCAGAAATACCATCAACAAGTTTTCTAAGGCACTTCAGAATCAGGCTTAGGCTACTTACTCCTACAATTATCTTCAAGTACTGGTTAAAAGGCCATAATAAAGCACAGTATTTGGCTACTAACCAAATTGCCAGTCTATGTGTCTGCAGCTCTGAGATTACTGTTGTTTTAACTCTTTGTATTTCTAGTAGCTAATGGATGTAAGACTATTTTCTATCATCATTTTAACATGCACTGTTGTAATAATAACATACAGACAAAATCATCCCATACAGTGATGAATCGCTTCTTTTGTGCAATATCTAATAGAGGGATTTGACTTGTCCATGTTATGCAGTTCCTGCACTTCCTATTCTATGTTGATTTTGACAAGGTCCCTTGATACTGTCCCTTGATGCTTTACATGCCAAGAAACTTTACAGGCAAAAAGAACAGAAACTTGCATGCACTCTTCACACACTTGCATAGTCTCTTCAGAGCTTGTGAAAGATATTTTCCCCACCCTTATCACCATCTCCCTCAGAGAAGGAAGACAGGATAATGGCAACTGTGACCACCAAGAGCCATGCTAAAAAGGACGCATGTCACTTCAGTGTTATTGTCTGTCCCGGGAAGTGCTCAATGACTTGAAATGATTAAGGCTTAAAAAGCTGCAAGTTTTGATGTTAATATGATACCTAGACAAAGGATAGTATGTGTGTTCATACCTGCATGCAGACCTTACAGATCAAATTCCATCATGCTAGACTACAAGTATATGTACATAATTCTACGATCCCCCCCAAATCTGAAATCTAAGCAAGAATCTGTGAAAGAAGCCTCTACTTTCTCTCCCCAGTCATACCAATAAACTAGAAGTTCTCCCTGAAATGTCAATCCCAGTAATATGGTGGAATAAAAGTTAAAGACAAGGAAGGAGGGGAAGCACATTACTATAGAACAAGCTCTCCAGAGTTACTTCTAAGAAGCAGGACCCTAAAACTGGAAAAAAAAAAATCAGATTCATATATTCCAAGTGCACAGTGAAAGCTCGGATCCAGCACAGATGAGAAATAGGACACTTAGCATCCAGACTAACAGATGCCAAACCCCAAGTTCAATATATACATGCAAGTGTATACGGGCAAGTAGAGTAAACAAGATTCAAAGTTAGGATAAGAAGTATTTAGTAAACCAAGTTTCTCTAGCAGCTTTACCAGAGATCTACATAGGTGGCAGCCGCAAGGACACAGGCTTTATATTCTGAGTCATAAGGTTGAACAACTCAATATATTATGTATTTGCAGACAAAATAGGGGCAATGATCTGAGAGAAGAAAATGAACAGACGGTAAGTTTAAAGCAAATTTGGGGGCACATATGTGATTACAGTAACAAAGCTTAGATACTGATTTCTAGTCTGTTCAGATTATACTAAAACTAGTAGAAAAAGAATAGAGACAGTTTCCTAACCCTGGACATAAAGCAGAGTTTACAGAATTCCTGAGGCAATGCTTACATTATTGCTATATTTTGACTTGTGAATCACCACTGCTTTGGAAGGAACAGTGGATGCTGGCTTCCGGATGTTGAATTCAGGCTTTGGTCGATTCTGTTGCTGAAGATTTTTCCACTCATCTAACGTCATTTCTTGAACTACTTCTTCCACTGGCTCTTCTTCAGCAACTCTAAAGGTTTATAGTTGTAAAGTAAAAACCATTAGCTCGCAACATGCCAGGATGAACAAGAACGCTAATCTCTACAGAAAGGATACTAAACAAAACATTTGGAATGTTTCTCACCAAATTACTATCCTCAATTTCCCTTACTCCCCACAGTAACTTGATGTGTGAGTTTTACATTAATATAAGTTGGAAAATATACTTAGGGCCTGTTTGAAATTAGTTGTATGAACAAATGCTGTCTCCAGCCTCCTGTAGTAAATTCTGGTATTTATCCAGTCTCATCCTAAATTCAAGCCCTTTGGATTCTAGACTAAAACCAGTCTGTCTTTTGATGTGGCATATTCTCAGCCCAACTGTTTAATACTGAATCCACTCCTAGCAAAATATATCCATAGTACAAAAACCATACCAAACAGTTTTAAAACATCTCAACTGCATGGTTTTATTGACTCATACTGCAGGATGACAATATGATATGAATTCATGTTTCAATGCAGTTTTCAGTCATCAGAAAGACACGATGATCACACAATGGGATCTTCTAGGTAATCATTAACCTTTCCTTTGTTAATGTCACAAGATGCTTTGATTTCTTTTGTCAGATTAGTAGCACACAAGGAGACAGTGTTCATCACCTGGCAAAACCAGATTAATCGTAATCCAGTTTTAAGTTGTCAAAGTGCAATAATGATATGTTCAAGGAAAACATCGGAGTCTGCCTTGCATATTTTTTTAACTGTAAAGACAGAAGTCCAAGGCTTTATGTCTGTATTCATAAGACAAGCTAGATAAGACAAAACCAAAGACTCTTTTCTACTCATTAAAGCATCACATGCAGGGAGCACAACTCACTTCATCACTGTAATTGTTTGCTGCAGAAACAAGTCAAATACCATGAACTACAGGAAAATCTGCACTGATGACCCCCAGACATTTGAGAAACCATTTCTCCCACACAAAACTGCTACGCATTGCAGTAACAGTCGAAGTTGGTTAAGTATTTCCCCAATGTTGATTCTTCCAGAAAACCCTTTCATTAGGTCCCTTCTGATGGACAACTATGGATTTATTTTTCCTCAATCGCAGTTCCAAGTCTTCTTCCAGCAAATACTGAAGATTTTTCAATGTAAACATACAATTGATTTGATGCAAGTTGGAAATTTATTTTATCATGCAAAGATGCAGTCAAATGACAGCCAGTGAACTGTGCCTTTTTTTTTTTTTAAGTTGTACAAGCATCCCATCAGAATGCACACGTTTGTTGGGAATGTTCTGTACACTTAGAACTAGCCTACATAGGAACAGGCCTGCTCCCTCTTCCTACTTGATCTCGCAGAGAACCATTTATTTCTTGCCAAAATTATACAATATTTTCCTGAAGCACCCAAGATACGACAGGAAGAAGCAGAATTACTCAGTAAGACAGCCCTCAATTTTGGTTCTAGGATGAACATAGTTTTAAATATACTTTGCAGAAAAAGTAAGTAAAAAATATGCAAGTCCTGTACATATATGCCAGCCCTCTGACATGCCTTCATGCCCTGTTATTTTGAAAATTCCAGCTATATCAAACAGAAGTTAAAGGTTAAAAGACTGTTAAGTAGTTTGTAGTTCCATACTGATTAAGAAGACCTGAAACTATGTTAGAAGGACTGTGAAGAGAAAAAATTAACCGGTTTACTGAGTTAAATAAAAAGGCTACTGGTGAGAGATGCAGCTACTTCTGGAAAAACACCAACACCATATGTAAGAACATTAAGAACCAATTGCACCCCAAATATTTCAATTTGTTGTTCTTAAAAATAAGAAGCCAGCTAATTTTTGATCAATTATCTGAAGCTTCGGTTTTGGGAATAGATGCGGGAAAAACAAGACTAGTTGCAAGCACCCAGAGGAAGAAAAAAAAGAGAAAGTAAACTAATAAAAAGGGGTTCTATTAAATTGGTTTAATTTCTTCCTAAGCCACTACCTCAGGACAGAGTGAGTAAATTGCACATCACGACCCTCACAACCTAGGAAGTCTTTTGACATCCTCTCCCATTAAGTTTTCACCACATTAGGAAGACACCGGTTCAGTCCTGGGCAATAGCTGTAGAAAGATACAGAACTGATAGCTACTAGTACTTGAGAAGTAGCTATCAATCTTTCAATCTGCAAAAGAAAAACAAACATTTGAGTGGAGTTTTAAGGTCAACTCTGTGCATTTATCCACAGTGTAATATAAAATAGATTTACTGCATTTTTTTACCGCACAAAGGTTGTGAAAGGGCAATAGAGCAGAAGTGTTCAAGAGTACTGAAGGACTGACCAGTGGTATGAAGATGCTAAAAAGACTAAGTGATTTGAAAACAAACAAAACAACCACCACCAGGAAGTCCCAAGGATAAGCAAATACATAGTCTTGGGCAAAAATATCAGCCGCCCAAACGCAGAAACAACCACTAGCAAGGCAGAAGCTCTGAAGGAGGGACCCCAACCCCCTAAACTGTGCAAGAGTACTGCAGGTAACCCAGTCAAGCTGAACTTTAAATCAATAGCATTTGTCCCTTCTGCAACAGCATACTATTATAAGGAGACACATCAACAGCTTTGTTTGAAACAGATGTCACTGCTGGTACGGTGGAACAAGGTCTCATCTGAGTAATGTTTTCTGTGTGGGAACAGGTAGAAAAACCAGAATAGAATAGCAAGACAGATATGAGGTCTACATGTGTGATCTACATGGGAAGCCTTGAAAAAGATGCTGAGGAGGAAACATACATAATGCTAAAAAAGAAAGAAAATTTTGCATATCCATCATGTTAAGACAAGACACGAACAAAAAAAAATGAACAAAAAACCACACACAGTAGTTTCTATTTTCAAAGTATTGGAAAAACCACTGAAATTCAAAGTATTGGAAAGACCTTGAAATCTCAATCAGTGGAGGACATCAAATCAACTAGACAGGTATGAAAAGCAGCACAGGTATGGTTTGTCATGCCCTGGGTCAGCAAGACCCCTTTCAGATCTAAATTTCTATAATCATAAAACAACATGAGGACATTTCACTACACATCAACCTGACCTGTCAAAAAAGCAATCACAGGTATTGCTTTGGAAAGCACACATCTACCAAAAACAATCACTTGCCTGTTCTAAAGGAAATACTGCAAAAATCTTTGTTTTTTCAACTGCAAAGTGTGGTTTGATTTTTAAAAGGATGGTTTCAACTGCTAGGTTATTAGCAGTACAAATTTGTTTTAGGACACCAAGACGCCCAAGAGGAAACACCTCCTATTAGTGAAGCACAGCAACAGGAACCTGTGTATCACATTTTGGACAGAGACTCGATTGTAGCAGATTGTTTTGGGCACCAAGCCTCCATGGAAATGCACTCTGTGCATTACTTTCTACCTTGTAACCTTATGCATTTTTAGTAACTGCTTGGTGTGCATTTTCATTAATCAAGGTAATAAGCTCCTTGGCACACAAACCATCATGCTTACAAAATATTGCCAAGACACCCAAGCACGGCCTCTGGACACAAACAAACTGAATTCACAATGCAAACATACCAAACACCAAATGGGAGCCTTCAGTAATGGTTCCTGCTGCTTCAGTGTTTTCAATGGATAACCATAACCCTCCAGCTACGCATTGTTTACTGTGCATACCTTTCTTGCCAAAACTGCTCAGTGTTAACCCATTAATATACAGAAGAAATGCAAATGGAAAAGAATGGCATTCAGCTCTGTTGTTCAGCTGATTATTTTCATATCATTAAAAATAATGATAGTGGGTCTTTTTCAGATCAGTTTTTGCATTATTCAGCTGCACAAAGCAAAATTTTATTCAGCTTTTATCAAGAAATCAGTGACATGAGTCTTTCCTATTAAACAACATCTACCAGAACACTACCACCAGTTACAGCAAAATTCAAAGTTAACCAAAGTAAGACCAAGCAACAACTGCACAAGTTAACTATAGAAGAAAAACACTGAACTAAATACTTATGAAGACCTGGCCTGGCCTATGGATAGCTTTTTGTCACTACTAAAAAGAAGTAACAACAACAAAAACCCACCAAAAACCCACCAAAAAAACCAAGAGAGGTAAACAGCTCAGCAAACTTGAAGGCAATTTTTGACAGCTTTGTACTAAGTGACCAGAAGAATACATAGCCCCACCAAAAAGCAAGAAAGTCCTGTGTGAAGAAATGGAAGAAAACTCCACTCTGCAAATACCTTTGATAGGAATTGATTAGACTATGTGTCATACTGACTAAAAAGAAAAATCTATTAATTTGAATTACCAGTCAACACAAGTGTGTTACATTATTCAGACTGTGAAAACAAGTTCAACAGAAAGTGGCTGTGAGGAAAGTTCATACTGCTTATACACTTACATATTTTGTATTTCTTACTTGCATCAAAAAACCCACAGCTTTTAGCATACAGATTGGGATGTTATAAACAGAGATAGATATTGTTGATATCCTCAAGGAAATAGGAAGATATGGAAAGAAAGAACTTGCTTTATATTACACAAGTATTAAAGAAACTCTTGTCCTGCAATAACTTGCACATGGAAGTTCAAGAATTGCAATGTGGACACAGTCCTGAAGGCAAGACTCCTTAAGTTTCAGAAGCCCACAGAAGTCCTTCCAAAGTTGGACTGAAATTAGTCAGCACTACACAAGAAAGCTATACAGTACCTCCACACAGACAGATTATTCCCAATTTCCAGGAATACTTTTCATTTTCTTTTAAACGGAAACAGTTACAACAGAGAATGAGAGAAAAAAAACAAACCCAAGTTTTCCATCTCTTCCTCCGTACAAGCACACAAATGCAATAAAGCAGCAGAAGAGAAATGGATTCCTTAAGAGTTGCTGCATTTAAGAGTCAAAATGAGAACAATCCTAGCAGTAGCTTAACCGAACACACACCCCTACACCCTCAATATTGAGGCTGTAGGAAAAGCAGAAGGTAGTCTAGCTAGAAACTTTTGTTAGTGTATGCTACCTGCCAGAAGACAGCAACTCTGGAGAGCAGGGGCAACCTAAGCAAGCATACAAGACCTTAAAATGCATCCTGAAGCCTGAAAACCATACCCCACCATCTTTTGCTTTTAAATATTGAAAGAACAACAAAAATAATTCCACCTCGTTAAGGTGTATGCCATACAACCATCCCTAATAAACTAGGCACTATTCACACAATGTCTCCTCTTCTATTTTAAAATATGTAGAGTCACCAGGCTGACACTATCCCCAAAGGTAAGTGCAATGAGGTATATGTAATTCGTATTTTGGATACAGATTTGTGAGTCTTCAGGACAGTATTTACCATGCTGAAGAGGGTACATGATGCAAATTTTGTACTTGTAGGTTACTTACATTTTTGAATCTTACATATTTCAGTGGACTATTTCTAAATGAAACTTTTTTTAAAAAACCATGAAGAGGAATAAAATCTCTGAATACCTAGGTGATCCCTGAGAAAGAGAAAAGAATTAAAAGACAACTGGCAGAGTCTGCCAGATGCCTTTGCCACTACATATACTTCTCATGCCTTACATTCTACAAGAAACTGATGCCAGGACACATCTATAAAGAGCTTAAATTGGAGTAGAAACAAATACAAGTCTGAAACAAGTAAAGGTACCAGTAGTTGACAAAAAAGTTGAATAACTGTTCTCATATTTAGCTAATATGTTCATTTTTGACAGTTCATCTACACTACTCATCTGATTTAAGGTAGTCTAGAAACAGTTTTCTGGAAATCCAATCATAGTCATTCAATTTCAGGCACAGATTTCCCCATGTATACAAACCTCTAGCTATATATTAAAAGCTAGATTAAAATTAAAAGAATCAAAGCTGTATTAATTCAACTTCTTACAGGGTTGTACAACCTGAACATATAAAACAGGTGTTGTCATCTAGTGAGCTTTATAATTAAGAAATTAACCAAGGCCACTAATAACCAGAGCTGCATCATTAGGTAAAAAAGGCTTCACAGCAAGTTAATTTCTCTTCATAGCAGAAGAGCTGACATATTACACTGACTCTCTTTCATTCATCAGGAGATATTTAGCACCTGTGATTAAAGTCTTTCTTCGACAAGATTGTCCAGTTACTTTTTCTTAAGCCATTGCTTATTCACAGTGAAGTAAGTTACCACTGGACACTGACAAGAATGAAAGCCAGAAGATGAAGGGCAGATTTCTCTCTCAATTTCCCTACTTCCAATGCTCACTGCAATACCATTTCCAATAAGTTTTTCAAGTTTTACAGAGGATAGATGAGACCTGCATGGTATTAGTGGTGATTGATGAATACTGACTTAAAGAATTTTATTTTAGTGCATTTTAATTGTGTTTGTACGATTGCATAGGCACACGTTGAATACCTTTTTCTTAGAGAACTTCAAAAAGCAGAGTAGTTCTTGCAAATTAGCAAAGTTTCAAAGGTAAAAGACAATATGTAGCTCCTTAAATTATCACCAAATCTTAGGGACGTAAGCATCACTGGGCAATCAAATGTAATCTGTAGCTCTATAAACCAAGCTTTAGTCAGAATTAAGGATGCATTTTCTTGACTCACAAATATAGACAAAGCTTTTCTGTTTTTAAACATGTACACTAGCAAAACTTCACAGTTCACATTTCAAGTGTGCCTCCCAATACATCAGTAACCGTCAATTGTTTTCTTTGCATTTAGAAAGAAAATATTTAGTCAAACTATACTTGTTCAGAGGTTCTCCTTCAGACGTCCCTGACTGCTCAGCCGTTTCTGCAGTCTCTTCCACAGGAGCAGTCTGTTCCATCCCACTAAAACAGTAAACAAAAAAAAAACCACAACCACAAAATTTTCATAGGTCACATTGGAAAAACGCCTTGCAGATCAATACATCACTTTTTTTCCTCTCTCCAGGAATTCTGGAAAAAAATAGGAGAAAAACTCTAGAATCATAATCAGAAAGTAATCTAAGTGACCGAGTGACTAACAAAATGAGAAGTATTACGAAAATCCAACTTCTATATACTTTTAATCGAAAAAGAGAAAAGCATGCATGAAGACAAAGTAATTCAGTCATGAATACTAATACTAGTACTTGATTACAGTGTATCACTGACATTTGGGTTTGCCTTTTTGTTTCTTTTCAACTATTAAAATGGTAAAATTCATACTCCAACTTTGTATTTTCTGTAATATGGACATTAGTTCACTGGCAAATGAGAGAAGTTGCATACTTACTTTCATTTTACTGGTAGGCATACATATTAAAAATTAACATGTGTCTTCAATGCATCATTGAGCACAATTAAAGCACAGACAGGCTTTTATAATTGTTTAGACAACTCCGATTTAATGTCATTTCTACCACACGCACCACATCACAAGAAAGCATGATATAAACGAGATATCAATAAGTGCTGATGCTACTGAACTAAAAAAAACTTAACTAGAGAGAATAAATATAAGGGATCTTAAATTTCTTGTACTTTATGAAGTTCACACAAACTTCCCTGACATCCTACAGAAGCTAGTTTTGTGCTTTTGGTCAGCTAGTTTTGTGCTATCAGCTCATATGTTAACCTAGCTGATCATTTTGAAAAGCCAGAGTAAATAACCTATCTTTTAGTTTTAGTATGAAATATTATAGAAGAGATAGAAGTTAGTACAACCTTTCAGGAGAACTATCAAGCCCTAAAGTTATTACCCATAAAGGCTGTACTTTTCAAGCTTTTATTCAGATTGCCCGAATCCACGATCTAAGTTTTAAAAATAAAGTTTTATTTTTAAAAACAATTCTGTGAATGAACATGTATGGGGCCAAAGATATTTGCTGTCAAAGCAATGCCTTTTCTCTGTCCTTTATCAGCCTTCAATTATAGAGTTCTAAATGTATATGAGAACAAAAGCTACTGGAAAGAGTAGCATATTGCTAAGAATGGACAAAAGCCAACACTTCCAGTAAGCTTTTTGCAAGTCTGAACAGAAACTAGTAAGAGAAATACATAACGGAATTGAAAATTCCCAATTTTTTTTTTATCTGACCATTAATAAGCCACCACATTCTCTTACTGATCCTCTTGTGCACTTTAAAAATGTATTTCAGTAAAGTCAGCTAAATATTACCTCCAGAGCCACACTGAATTGTATTACAGCTTTGAAATTTATAAATGATACATACAACTTGAGAAAAAGACTGAACTTTAAGCCCACTAACAGTTTCAATGTTTTAATAGGCATTTTGTAACAACATCATTAAATATCAAGAGTCACACTTACTTGACTATTGAGAAAAGGTGTAACATTTCAGCTAAAACACAACTTGGCCTCAGTCAAAAGATTTTGGAAGTCTTAAGTGAAGAAACATCACCATGCCTTTGCTACAATTTAATCTCACCAACATGAAGGAGGAGAGGTCAGAAAACTATTAATTGCTGTGATGAACCTGCTTTTACAGAAAGCAAGGCTTATAAAGCTCAAAATGGATATGCAACAGAAAATTATGATCTAAGGTAGGCCACAGAAAATTATGATCTATAGTGTATGTTGTTGTACGTCATACCACCTTTTAACTGTTCCCCAGCTGCGAGCTCCACCTCCACCCTTTTTGTCATCTGCTTTTATTCTTCTAGAGAAACAGGGTTCTGTGAGTTTAAGAGCTTTTTTTCATTAGGACCTCAAACTAAAACCAGTATTGACTTTTTGCCAGCGAACCTGGATATAGAAGAAGGGAACAGAATACTTACGAGACACTACTGCGGTACCGACTATTGCTTACTTGTGCACCAAGTAAGAAGCAGCACACAGAACACTTACATTTTGTCATTCCAACTTGGTCTTTCAAATTCCCGTTTTCCTCTTTGCTCAAAACCATTGAAACTTCTATTTATTCCACCACCTCTTCCTCTACCTCGCATTCCACCTCTTCCTCCGCCACGACCTCTTACTGGCCTTTCACGGTCTAATCTTTCAGTTGGTCTAAAAAGAAGATTTCTGGTCAGATTTTTGTTCCTACAGAACAGTTAACAAGGACAAAAAAATTGTATGGCTGCATTTGTGTAGCTGTGAGAGACATCAGTATATGATACCTACTGTACAATTTTTAGAGTGCATCTTTACACAGCACACAGTACAGTTGTATTAGTTTTGTCATTAAAAATGGACATAAACTGAACTCAGGAGGAATTAGTACAGATAACAGGAATAGAAAGTTCAACCATTTATTGGTAACACTGAAAACATTAGAGAAGTTAAATAAAACACTATAAATCTGTCAAATCTTCAGCAACTTTATCAGACAATAGCTCCACTGTCTAAACCCAGATTTATATGCAACTGCTAAAAATTTAAGGGAACTTGTTAAATACCAACTATTGTGATGTAAAGTAAGAAGAGCCACGCTCTCAAGCATTAAAAGTTTAGGTGGAATTTTCTAGTACTTATAAAAAAAGCAAAATTGATATGCATTCATTGTCCACGTTGAGGGTTATTAGTTGTTTAATGTAAGTTAAGTAGGTTTTAATTAGAATAAATTATTTAGGAATATAATAGTGTGATTTGTGCTGTTTATGTAGCTTTACTTAGCATGAGTAGCTAGATTTACTGAAGCCTTTAGGCCATGATAGAGGTATTTTTCTCAGTAATTTTCCTAGTAGTTTTCCTAACAGCTAGTATAATGCTATGTTTAGTCTTTTAGTATGGGAAAGTATTTTGATATCACTCTAATGTCTTGGTAGTGTTTTCCAAGTCTGGGACTGTTCAGTTCTCCATGCCAGCAAGGGCAGGTATATAATGACTTTAAACGAGAAGATAAGGAGGATCCAACCTTGGGGGAAAACTGCGGAAACTGCAAGTCAACAAGATAAGAACCTGCCTGCCTGGACACAGAAGAATCCAATTATATGTTAGAAGACCAAAAATCACCATTGGATTAAAGGATGCGTGGGCAGCGCGTGAAGGGCGGGTGTGTGGGACCCAAGGGTGTAATTGCCCCAGGGATTTCTTTGTTCTGGGTCTCTCTTTGGAGGCACCCAGCCCAGGCTGATCCTGCCGCCACATCTTTCAATTAAATTAATTATTTTATAAAATCTGACACCTGAGACTCAGCTGTGGGAAACCTAGGGTTGAGCCTGAAGGAGGAAAAAATGCACCCAACAGTAAGTGAGTGTGTGTGTGCGTGACACCATGAATAGCGTGTGAATGCTTGGGCAGCAGCTACTCCTTTAACAGTCCAAGCAGTAAATAGTATGACAAAAGTTCATTTTCAGTTTGAACAGTAAAATTCACTCAACTTGGTACCTGCACCACATGCTCTGCAAAGCTTGGTACACAAGCTCCGAAATGAACATTTACATTGCAGACTAGGGGTTACATTTTCAGATCTTTATACTTTTCAGTTTCGTCTTGTATTTCTAACATTTAACAAAACTGCTCTAAATCAATCTGTGATGAAGCTGAAACTACAGCTCTGACAGGCACAAAGTCATCTTGCAACAACTCTACACACTAACAATGCTACCATGCCTTCAAGTCACATCTGGCTACTAGATCTGTTTTAAGAAGGTCAAGCCTTTCCCTTCCCACCCCTGTGCAGGTCCTCCATGAGGCACCTTACTTCTCCCTGTAAGATACGTACCTTTCCACTGTGAGTTCCGCTTGTCTTTCTGTTTCATAGGAACGGTATTCCCTGAAAGACTGTCTCCATTCAATTTTGTCTTGTTTCACCTCTGCTCCTCTGTTATTCAATCCTTGCTGTTCTCCCCGCTTAGGTGCTCGCTTCTGGCCTATGCACACACACACATATACATTACTAAGTTTAATAATAATTGAATTGCAGTTACCAAACTACTGACTCAAATCAGTTGATTACATCTTACAGTCTTCTGCTTTGCCCTTTCCAATCCCAAGTCCACCAAAATGTTAAAAGCACTTACAGTTAATGTTGACAGACACTGTCTGTTTTAAAGACATGTATTTACTTTCCCTTCTGTATTGATGAACCTGCTTCAGGCAGCAATATTACAGGTGTTGACACAGTTCAGACTCTTCCAGAAAAGACAGGCTAAAGAAATCTCATTTTGCTCACATTAGGTCACAGAAATGGACAACTCTTTCTCTCATGTTGTCTCAAAGATCTTGCCAGTGTACTACAGGACAAGGCAGAGAAGCTTCAATGGAAGACATTAATTGCAAGATGGCTGCAGGAGCAATGAAGGTGGGGGCAAGACGAGGACCGTTAGAGACAGGCATCAGTTCCTGATCACGAGATAACACACCTCCTGCCTTCAGATGAGCTGAATTTAGAAGTCTGAGCCTGCACCTCTACTTTAAGCTCACAGTGATGGTATATGACAACCAGAGGAGGGTCACCTCCTTCTATTACTGTTCTGTGGAGGAGAGGACCATTCACCAACACCACAAGTCACTAAGTTTAAGTAGCAGAAACCCCAGCACTAAGTACAAAGGTTCCAACACCAGTAACTGATTCCAGAATGTCAACATATTCCAAGATAAAATGTATTTAAGCCTTTTTGGGTTTTGTTGGGCCATTGTCAGGGTTAAGGAAGAGCAGGCTGGGCAAGGTGAGTGCAGAGAAATTGTGTGCTATACAAGAGAATAAACTGAGGTTATCCACTCAACCCACATACATCTAGCCTAACATTAAAGTTCATTATGTGTGTGCTTCCTTCCCTGTTTTCCCAAATTCTGTGTTCTATTTAAGACAAAGTTCTGCAGAAGCAAGCACACCTTTTGTCTGCTAGGCCCCTGTACTTACACTATTGGCTGAAAAAGATGTTGGTTTAAGTCAATCAAGCAGAAACCCTGCTCTCAGACCAACAAAACTGAGCTATTCTTTCCACAAGAAGCACCTGTGCAATGGCGAGCAAGTTACTGAACTCAGGTTAGTGGACAAGTGACAGTCCTGGCTACTGTGCCTCTGTTGCTAGCACATAATGTTGTGACATAAAATAGGCTTTTTTCTCTTTAAGATACAAATGAATTCATAGCTCCGTAGAAATACCCATATAAGAAGATCTCTGATCAAAGCTTAGGTGGCAAGTCTGGAACATCATCTTTAAAAAGAAAACTTCAAAGAACTATCCACTTGGTGAGTAAGGTAGAAAAGTGGTAAATAAAGCTTTTTGTTATGCAGTAAGGACAGTTATATCTGTACACAGAAGACAGTTTTATTTGTGCTGCAGAAGCAACACTAGCTTTGGTTTTCTTTAAACTACAAACCGCTTGACATAATATATTCCAGTAATTCTCTCAAGATTTGGAGCTGCTTAATCCTTACAGCAGCAAGCATATTTGCATCCCAAAAATTAAGATGTAATCTCTGGACAACTTCTGAAATCAGTTTCTGTGTAAGCTTTTCAAATCAGGATGCTTTAATAAAAAGCAAAGTTATAAAGAATACAGAATTGTACATGCTGTTAGGAAACAAGTCTGCTCTATGCACATCTGAACTACACCAGCAATTATACAAGTGTTAATTCCAAATTGGAAACTTGCTGTGGAAAAAGTGACTATTCATTTCTGATCTCATTTTTACTTATTTTGTTTGGATCTAAATGTGCAACTGCAATACAAGAATGCATTATTTATTTTTGAGTCTCTCATTGGCTATCAGAAACATCAGTTATTCTCAACAGAGTAACTTGGCAAGAATGTCGAGACCACCTTCCCTATGTACTTAGTGTTAACCTAAATTTCACCTTCAGCTTCAAAGAGCTCCTTAGAACTAGTAAAGCAATGCCAAAAAAAAATGAAGATACAAAAATCATTTTAAAAATATGGTCTCTGGTTCTGTTATGCAGTACCAGTTAAAACTACTTCAAAACAAATCTTCTTGCCCCATAAGCCAGTGTATTACATATCACTAGCACCGATGGTGCTAGACAAAGCAGTCAGCTCTGATTTCAGTGCAAGGCTGTTTCACTTTGATTCTAACAGGTGGCTATGATTACTGCAGATGGATTTTAAATACAAGAAAGCTTATTTGTAGCACTTATTACCTGTATAAAAACATTTTTAACTGATTTGACAGATATGCAGCAGTGGATTAAAATGTTATCCAGCAACTAGACCTCCCTAATAAGCCAAGTCACCCTCAGGGCAGCAGGCTGTGACCTGCTTGTGAATCAGTTCAAATACTAGCACAACTTTCAGCTCTGCATGTAAGGGCAACCTAAACTGGAGCTTGGCAGCAGTGATAGCATAAGCTATCCAGTTTTAATCTTTTGCCATATGTCTGTCCCAGTGCAGACTCATTTTTACTTAAGGAGCTGAAAGGCCACCAACCCTTTGGGAAATCAAAAACACAAAAAAACAAAACCACAAAAAACCAAAAACACAAAAAACCATCAATCTCAAGTACCTCTGCCATAATAGCTTTCACTTAAAAAGAACTACTTGAGGTCTTAGAAACATTGTGCTTGTCCTCATTTTGGCTGACAGTTAATTTTCATCCTAGCAGCTGGTGTAGTGCTGTGGTTTGGTTTTAGAATGAGAATAATCTTGATAACACACTGATGCTTTTAGTTGTTGCCAAGCAGTCAAGGACTTTTCAGCTTCTCATACTGCCCTGCTAATGAGAAGGCGGGGGTGCACAAGAAGCAGCTGACCCAAACTGGCCATAGGGATATTCCATACCATACAATGTCATGCTTGGTATAGAACTGGAGGGCTGGCCGGGAAGTGGGGCAGCTTGAGAACTAGCTGAGCATTGGTTTCAGGTGGTGAGAAATTGTGCTGTGCATCACTTGTTGTGTATATTCTTTTATCATTATTATCATCATCATCATTACTATTCTCTTCCTTTTCTGTCCTATTAAACTCTCTTCATCTTCACCCATGAGTTTTACTTTTTTTTCCTTCCCTTTTCAATTCTCTTCCCCATTCCACTGAGGGGAGTGAGCAAACGCCTGCACGGTTGTTTTAGCTGCCGGCCGGGTTAAACCACCAGTGCTGAAAACTGAAGATTCCTCTTTCCCAGTTACCAAGTTTAACCTCTCTAAGATGGTTTTCCTGTATCTTGCAGTCACACTTGTAATCCGTATTCGGCTGAAGACGTTGCCCACTGCTCCCCACCTCATCGCCACTTCCCCAGGAGGCTACTACAGCAGCCCAGTCCGTCGGCTGAGTTGCCTGTGACGTTACTTTCCAAAATGGGGAATCAGAAAAGAAATCTGATGCTTAAACTATTTCAACAGACTCAGCTTTTCTCCGCACCTGCCCAAAGAAGCTGCCAAGCTATTATTAGAGAGAAAGACATCTGTAAATACTAAAATTACCAGGTAATAGAACTAGATATTGCTAAAGAAAAAAGCCCAGTTTTACAAGCTGTTATTAAAATTCTAAATCACACAGAGCTAACATACTTAAGTAGTTTTCACTCTCCCCACAATAATACTTTACTATCAGAATTAGTTTTGTTTATACTGCAGCATTTAGATAGAAAGATTCTAGGAAAGAGTTTTTAATAAGTGTGTATCTTGCAACTGGGAAAGCAGAAATTGTATTTAAGACCTGCATTGCCTTGTTTCCCAGACACTGGATATCTATGTATTAACAGATGGATTTAAAACAATGCAGCAAAATCTAGCTGCCTGTGCAGTGTTGTTGTCTAGCTCTCACCAAGTTTCTCTATCCACATCATTTGTCCTCAAACAAGTGGGAGTTTTGCTTGGGAACAGATAGTTTTCTAGGTATTGTGGGCTCTTCACTGGGCCCAACTGAGACAGCATGCTCTCACCTTCTTTTTAATTTTTAGTTTTAAGGGGGAAAAAAAAGGGGTTTGTGAAGCAAATTTGACTTTAGACAAACACCACAAGGAGCCCAGCTTACAACTGCTATCAATGACTACAAGCTAGAGCAGAAATCTTGCCGTACTTCCCCCATTCCCTTTATGCAAGGAGCGTGGCAGGCGAGGTTGGCAGCTGGCACGCACTTCACAGGCTGAGAGAGGTTACTGCTGCAAAGAGGAACAAAACCTTGTATTTTGACCTAAAATCCAGCTGACAACACTGCATCAAAGTGTTTTATGAATTCTCACAAGCCTGAAACCAACTCATCTCACTAAAATAGCCGACACTCAAGCCCAGTGAGATGATTCCATCAATACTCCATTTTCACAAAAGCACCCAGGGATGAAGAAGTGCCGAACAAAGAGTTATTTCTATTTTGCCCAAGTAGCACACACAGGAACAGAGCAAAGGCAAACTGAGTGGAGTTTTGATTCAGTTAGGATGAACATTAGAGCAACCATAGAAGCCAGATGAAAGACTTTTAGATCTTACATCATGCATTTGAAGAAAGAAAAAAACAACAAAATACTTTCCACCTGGCAATCTACCCTTAGAGGTTTTCTGAATCAAAAACTATAAGCATTGATTTACAGAGTACAGATCCACAGATGGGCTGATGTGTCTGTACCCAGACTGCTGTCTGAATAGATATACGCTTTGATATATCAATGTCACCCCACAACACGAAATGCCACAGGTCAATTATAGTCTCTGTAGAAAAAGCATTCTTTTTCCCTATTTCACAAAATCTGCCTCAAATTATATTCTTTTATTTCTGTAAAATAAGAAACAATATTCTGTGCCTTCTTCAAGTCTCACCTGCAGTTCTATATATACTCCTTTTGTATCCTCAGACACCTATCAAAACAAAAAACCCTTAATTTAAATTTATCCCAATACATAAATCATTCTGTAAGTTTCATCATGCATGTCACTCTAGCGTGCTTTTTCTAGTTTTAACATCTTCGAGGTGACAAAAAGAGCAGACACACTTCAAGACATAGGAAAGTGAGATTCCCTCAAAGGCGTAACAACTCCTTTTCTATTTCCCTTGCTACTGCTACCTCAGTAGTTCCCAACACTGCTTTCTCCTAGATGGCCTCCTGTTCTACTCCTAACAGTCCCAATCACTCCAACCTCTCTTTCCTAAATTACAATAGTCTGAATTAGAAAAATCTTTTGTGTTGCAGCAGAGCTTGCAACACTGCCGCCCCTCCCATACATATTACTTTACACTTACTGATAGTCAATTTCCTCTGTGACTTTATAGCTCATTTACAGTACGTAATTTGTGTCATTGCCCTGCAACTCTTCTTCAAGGCTAAATAACCTTGTACCAGCAAATTTCAGTTATTTATCCCTCTCATAGCTCTTTTAGCACAGACTTCCCACCCACCTATATAACACAAAATTGGAAAAAAAAAGAAGCACAGTTTAATTTTTTTTCAGACAAGTCTCAACTGCCTTGAAGATGTTAAAGCTAACAGCACACAATCACTGGTCCTAAATTCAAATCTCTCCTTCCATTTATTCCAGGAGACGCTTCTTTCCTTTGCTTTCAGCTTAACAGCTCATTTTTAAATGAAAAAAATCTGACCTTCAAAAAACAATTTAATTGGAGTTCTAAGGAGATGAAGTAAGTACAAAAACCAAACAGGAACACTGCTCCGGTTGGTCTGGAATGAGGGCAAGCAGAGAAACTGTGCTACAATTCAAGGATCTCTGTCATTAATTATGGTTGCATGCAAAGACACTACTTAATTACCAACTCAGTAACACAATAATACCTATACATGGACACCTGATTTTCCTTTACATTAAAGCCGCATAACTGGAAATAGTAAAAGGCAATTCTCACTCTCAAAGACTTATTTTGCTGTATGTCAGACTATAGCAGATTTAAGACTGCACAAACCATCTTACTTCCTCCTCTTTGCATGTGTATGTCCATGTGATTTTAATTCCAAACTTCAATTAATTTTGTGAACTAAAGCATGGCTAATTACACAATTTGCAGAATAATACCACAGTATCCCAAAATAAAATAATAAAAAAAAAAAGGCTTCAGCTATTGCATGCAATACACTAAAGAAAGCCACAGAGTTAGACTCTTACTCTGTGGTATTTTGTTTTCATGTGTGCCAGTACTCAATTACAGAATTGCCTACTGCAGCTTTCTTCTGGACAATCCTTATGGCTACATAGCTGAAAGAATGATATTGGAATAAATTATTTAAAAATAAGAAAATCGCAGTCAGTATAAGATAAAATTCCCCCTGTAGCTAAAAACTCAGACATGTAGTATTCAGGAACTACATCTAAATGTTACACGAGTCATCAAATGTACATGAAAGAAGAAAACCTTTCAGAGGTATTAGCAACAAAGGTTTAGAGATTTCAACAGAACAGAGCTTATTACTGCATGATCAACAAATTTAATTTGCCTGGACCAGTAAAGAATGCAAGCTCTGCAACTGGGTCTTTTGAATAAAGAGCTGGCAAATGCAGTTTGGCCACTGTGCTAAGAATGAACCGAGTTAACATTAAGTGGTGCAACTATAAGAGCTGTAACACCTACAAACAGCCTTTACCCATATCCTCAGGACAGAGTCTAAAAATCAGGGAACAACACAGTGAAAGAGTAAAAAATACATTGTTAAGGTCAAAAGCGTAGGTTTCGGTAGGCTATGAAATAGGAGTCCACTTTCTCCTTAAGGAGAGATTAAAAAACAGTCTCCTTCCAGTTGTGTCAACTCATAATAAATAGTTTGGATTCTAATGGTCAAAGTACTGGATTATCTGGCAAAGTTCTCTTAGGAGGTTTGTTTCAAATTGAAAACATCTCCAGATATCAATTAAGTAAAAACTCCTCTGAAAAAGGCAGTGAAGAATTAAAAGAAAAAAAAAATCAAGTTACAGAACTTTGTGAATAAACTCTAACATCACTCTAACATCAAAACGTAACACTGAAAGAAGTCTCTCTGTAAAACTTTATATATATTGCAAGACTGACAACTAGGCTTGCTTCAAGTCTTTCTAAAAATAAAGATTATTTTGTTTAGAATTAATATGCCTAAGAAATAAAACAAAAATCACAAAACTTTTAACAGGACTTTTTGTAACCCAAATAAGGAAAACACCCAAGTAATTAGAAAAAGCGGTCCAGAGGGGGTCCAAAGGAGGGCCATGAAGATGATCAAAGGGCTGGAAAGCCTGCCCTATGAGGAAGAACTGAAGGAGCCAGGTGTCTTCTCCCTGGACAAGAGAAGGCTCGGTAGGGGCCACATCATTATTCCAGTATTCGAAGGGCAGCTACAGATAAGATGGAGGCTGTCTCTTCACAAGGAGCCACATGGAGAACACAAGGGGCAAGAGGTATAAGGTGCATGAGGAGAGGTTTTATCTCAGTATCAGAAAAAAATGGTAACAATCATTCACTGCAACAACCTCCTCAGGGACAGTGGAGTCCCCGTTGCTGGAGGTTTTCAGGATGTGACTGGACAGTGTGCTAGATGGTCTCTTCTAGGCTGCCTTTGCCAGGAAAGGTTCGACCAGACAATCCTTTGAGGTCCTTTCCAACCTGGGCTGTTGCATGATAATTCTATGAACACTAGTACAATACAGACTGAATTTTGTCATTTCAACCATAATACCAGAATCTGATTCAGCTGTTCAGATGGTCGAGATGCTTCTTTATAGTATTTAATTCCTAATCAGTGAAATGAAATTAGAGGGAGTTATGCCTGAAATCTGAGGCAGCAGGAAGGGAATCACTAAGAAAGACTGGATACAAAAATCTTTTCAGTTTGGTATTTTGTTTTGGTTTTTAATACAAGTTTAGTCATTAGTTTCAGAATTTAGTAATTTTAATCAATATTATTTATTTCCCCAGAGGTGCACTCTTCTAGCAACGCGTCCATCATTAGAAGCTTTAAGCCAAATTGAGCTGGTATGAGTACCTTCCCAAGTGTTTACTCATTCTCAGTGGTTAAGCTGATAGTCCCCCAAATCTTTTACCATGTCCAGAAGTTTATACAGGTTGAATCCTGTATAAAAGAATCCACTTTGTGTGGCCCAAATAAAAAGCTGCCCTCCCTCCTCCCTCTTAAAAAGACCCCACCAAACTAGATTTTTTTCTCTCAACCCACCACTTGCTTTGTATTTGTCAGCTACACCATGAACAGGCTCACAAAGACAGTGCATCCAAAGAAGAAGCACACAGACATGACTGAGCCTCAATTCTCTGCCCTGGTTTAGCATCCTGAACACTATACATTTACAGTCGTTAC